GGCAGCAGGTTCTGAAGGGGTTCGCAATTGCGAACCCTGGTCGCAATTGCGACATCTGCTACCAGTGAATTAGGACTTAGACGCATTTTACTTCATCTTTCAAACTCTCTCAAACCCTGAGCTCTCTTGGGCTATTTTCTAAAGAATAATTTTTCTCCAAATCAATTGTAAGTTGTTTCTAACTCATTTTCTTTAATCTATAACATATTTTCACATGATTTCAATTCAAAATCAAGGGTTTTCATGGGGGAAATTGAGTGTTTTGGGTAGAACTTAGTATTTTCAATTTTTGGAGATTTGGACCTCAATTTGAGGTCCGATTTCAAAATAAATTATATATTTAAGTTCGTGGGTGAATGTATAATCAGGTTTTGGTTCGAACCTCGGGTTTTGACCATGTGAGCCCGGGCTCGATTTTTGGCTTTTTGGGGAAATCTTAGAAAACCTATTTTCATGCATTAGAATTGATTCATTTAGCAATTATTGATATCGTGAAGTAAATTGTGGCTAGATACAAGCGAATTGGTGGTGGAAACAAGAGGTAAAGCGGTAGTTGAGGCTTGAATTGTGTTCGTGGCATCGAAGTAAGTGTTTAGTCTAACCTTAGCTTGAGGGATTATGAGTTGTGTTTTATTTTCTATATGTTAATTGTTGAGTACAACGTATAGGCATGGTGACGAGTATCTATACGTCGGTGTCAAGCATGCCTGTGAGTCTTATACTATGATAAATATGACTCCGTTTCTTATTGTTCATGCTTTATATAATGATTTCTATTGTTGAATAAGGCTTGTGGAAGTATTATTGGTAATTGAATATTGTAGAGCGTTGGCTCAAGTTGAGAATTGAGTTGTGAAGTAATTGTGGAAAAGAGAAGAGGTTTATGATATTGGTTTTCCTTGCCGGGATGTTATTGTTTTTGATATTATCTCCCTTGCTGAGATGTTATTACTCATGATATTGTTTTCCTTGCCGGGATATTGTTGTTATGCTATTGTTCCATTGTCGGATTTTATTGTGATATTATTGATTCCCGTGCCAAATTGCTTTGTGATTGTTGCTTGGGTGAGGAAGAGTGTAAAACACGAAGGGTGATGTCGTGCATGATTTTGAGAGTGTTAATGCACGAAGGGTGTTGCCGTGCCAATATTGTGAGGTAAAAACACGAAGGGTGGTGCCGTGCCGCACGATGTACAATGTCGTACCATGATATGAGTGATAATACACGAAGGATAATTCCGTGCCATGATTACGTGAGGTAAAAGCACGAAGGGTGATGCCGTGTCGATTATACTGATTCTTATGGTGAGGATGAGAGTAAAAGCACGAAGGGTGATGCCGTGCACTTGTCTTTGATTTTCTATTCTTGCTGATAATTGAATTCTGGTGTTATTTACATTTATCTGTTGGTTTTCTATTGTTACTTGTTGTTCCCAGCAGCATGTTTTTCCCTCCTATCCTTAACTGTAAATTTCTGCCTTTACTTTTCCGCTGTATATGATTTAACTGCACAAGTTTATTTGGTAGTCCTGTCCTAGCCTCGTCACTACTTCGCCGAGGTTAGGCTAGGCACTTACCAGCACATGAGATCGGTTGTGCTGATACTACACTCTGCACTGTGTGCAGATCCCGGTGCTGCAGGTTTTGGACCACAGTGAGGTTGCTACCTTCAGTCCATCAGGCGACTCGAGGTAGTCCTGCAAGCGTCCGCAAGCCTTGGCGTCTCCTTCTATCTTTCCATACTGTTTCTTCTATGTATTTCATAAACAACTTTGTATTTATCTTTCGGACCCCTGTTTGTAGTATTCTTAGACAATTTGTGAAATTGTGACACCAGATCTGGGTAGCTTTTGTTTATGGATTTGTATCGGTATTATTATTAAATTGTTACATTTCATTCTTCCACTTATTATTTCCGTTGTTTATATAATGTTAATTCACAATTGTTAAAGGATTAAAAATGGAAAAGGTAAATATTTGGAATGATTGGCTTGCCTAGCCTTCACTAGTAGACGCCATCACAACTTCCGAGGGTGGAAAATCTGGATCGTGACACTTCCAGAGTGAGTCATTAGAGCTGAGGTTGAGCTTCACCAAGCTGATCCTAGTCACAATCTTGTCATTGGCAATTAGATTTGACAGTAACAGTTGGAGTTGAGTATATAAATCCTTACTGTCTCTCCATATCGTTTCAATTAAACCTGTCCTCATTCTCATATACCTAAATTGAGGTTACATTTGATCAACACTTCCTAATTAACGAGTTAGTGAAAACGTCAAATAGAATTCGACACGTAACGTAGACCTTTATTTTCTACTAAATTTCCATTAGAAAAGCTCTATTGATAGCTTATCAAGAGATTCAGGGAAATGTTCAAATTGGATTAGAAGACAAAGTGGACGTTGTAGACGTTCTCACTATCAAATAAATTGGTCAATAAATATTTTAATATTTTCTTTCAAATATATAAAATGGTTCCTATAGAAACGTTATCAAGGTCCTAATTAGATTCTAGAAGATGCAGGCCTTATGGTTCCTATATAATTTCTAAACTTAAAATCCACATATGAGTGATTGCATCTCATAATTTGTTTTTTGATCTATGTTAAAGTATGTGATTGTCTCGCCTAAGCTTGCCATTTCACTTAAGTTTAAACTTTTAGAGATAGCATACTATTTATCAATTTATTTACGTCTTTAACCCACCTCTAACGTACACACGCATGAAATATCTTTTTGATAATGTGTGATATTGAGACTTCAACTCAGTATTTTTGGCTGTTCTAATACTATGTTGAAGTGTGTCACTTTCTCAAATAAAAATTTGTATTACCGGAAAGATCTCACTTTTTATTGATTTATTTATGTTTTCAACAATCTCCATATATAGAACTAAAATAAATCTAAGATAGAAGTCAACCTTGATAAAATATTTTGATAACGAATTACAATTACACTAGAATGCCGAATCGTGTTTCATGATTAGACAAATTATATGAATGCATTGTCTCCTCTTAAAAGTTTTAAGTTCCATTAGAGAAGATTTTTCTCTACTAAGTAATACTTTGCACCTAAAAATAATGGAAACTGGGTTTATCTCTCGTTTTTGTTTTCCACTCAATGTTCATCGTCTGGGTTGAGGCCGATTAAATTCGATTCTCGCCGTAAAATCCCATATTAGGGGCTAAAACATTTTTTAACAAAAACAAACTTCATATTCAAGGCTTGATTCCAAAATCTTTGGTTAAGGATAAAGGAATACTCACCCCTTAATCCACACTTTTTATTGGTGGCGTATCTCTTGCTTACATCGAAGATGCTCAATAATAGAGGCCGAGACATGATTTAAAGCTTATGAGTTGTGAATTGTCTATCAATCTATTTAGCTTATTTTAATTATTAAGTTTACAAATAAATATTTATACATATTTAACAAATTTCCTAGTACAACACACGGTCTAAGCAAAACTACTAGTTTTTGCTTATAATACTCTAATTTCGCTCGTGATAAGCGTGTCACCGCTAAACTCTTTGGGTAGGTTTTGTAGTTTTGTGTATGCAGTTTCTATGGGAAAAAAAGAGTAATAGCTCTCATTTGTCTTTACGTGATTATTACACTTAATTCCAATACTCCAACTGTGTTTTCGGTTACAAAATTGACTAGCAAGGTTTGCTTTTGGCATTTAGCAATAATAGTTAAAACAAAGTTTAATTATTTCAAGTCACTACTGTAACTCTTTTTCAACTTGAAAAAGTTACCATGGTAACACCCTTCATCAATTCTCACTTAAATGGCTTGATTTAATTAAAAAGCAAATTTTCAATGAAGTTTAAGAATTTGATTTTACTTACATACGTTGAGTATATAAAGATGAATGTATTTTAATATATTATATAATAGATTAAATTTAGTAGTATAAAAGTTCTTGTATAATGTATAAATTTTAAACTCCATTAAGAATTTAGCTACAAGTTTTCATTAACTTTACAAGAGGAGGCTACATTATCCTTATAAAGTTCAAATTCAACAAAAATACAAGTACCTTGTCGAAATTCTTAGATGAAAATAATAAAGATATATATACCAAATGCACATTACTTTTCCAGCTTAGTGATTCAGATAATAATAGCTACTATGTTCTAAATTAGTCTGCTAATGCTTGCACCACATAGAGCTAGATGCATATTTCCTCTTTCTACCTAAAAAAAAATTAAGCTCTTGCCAGCTGATACAACTTTATGGTTTGTACATTTTATTCCTCATTGTATACAGAAAACATGCATATATGGATATATTCATGTTTGTAAGTTAAAACCAAGATGACAGCCCGACAAAAGAAAAAAAGAAAAAAAAAAGAACGAAGAGTAAACAACATACAGTACTAGTATTTTTTTTTTTTTTTTTTTTTTTGGATTTAGTCGCATCTTTTAATAAAAATTTAACAAAATCCTCGATATGTTCATGTTTGTAAGTTGAAATCAAGAAGACACTAAAAATACTAATAACAAAGAATAAGTAACATATAACCTACGATGGTTATGGTAGAATGATAAATACTCATTTATCCTTAATCAGAGATCTCGAATTGGAGTTCTAAGTATGAAGTCTCCTTTGTTAAAAAGCACTTTATCCCTTAATATGAATTTTTTTGACGTAAATCCGGATTTAATTGCACCCCGGCATAAATAGACACAGGTAAAAAACCAAAAAAACCAAAGAAAAAAAAAGAATAAACAACATATTTTACTATCTTTTTCTTTTTGTGTGACTGAGTTTGAACCTTTTAATTAAATTTTAACATATTTAAATCCATCCGTTACTAGTTTCTTCTCTCGTGTAAACTCATTAGGGATGATATCATCAATCACTTATTACTCTTCGTCTCAACAAGAAAAGTGAATGAGAAAAAAGAGAACTCCATCAACTAATTTTAACCTTATCTGCTCTCTATATAGCCTATATATATAACACTAAATATCAACTCCTTTTTCTCCACTACTACACCTCTAATATCACTTTACTTCTGCATTATAAATCAAACAATTATGAAAAATCAGTTTCATGAATTAACACTTGAGGAATTTCTTGAAGAGATAACTAGACAAGAACAAAGTTTTTTCAAGAAAAAAGCAGCTGAATCTGAGAAATCTTATGTTACGGAAATGTTTGGTGAGCTTTATTTTAGAGAAAATCCTGAGTCATCTATAAGTCACCTTTTTCCTCCAATGCCAAATCCTTCTTCTCCTAATAATGAAAATGCTAATAAAGCATCCATTTCAGAAGCTGAGTTTGAGAAAATTAGAATAAGTGAGAAGCTCCCAAATGGTGACATTGCTCTGCATGTGAATGAGATGCAAATAGGTATTGTTTTCTTTCTCTTTTTTTTTTTCCTCCTATCGTATAAAAAAGTCAGCCCTGTGCACGAAATATCCCACGTTCACGTAGGGTCAAGAGAAGGGCCGCACCTCCTCTGCCATATAATTTTACTCTTCTTTATACTTCAATTAGGGCCATTCATACCTTTACTGTTAACAAATCGTCTCTTATTTGCTCTTGACCCTAATGAGCTCCAATCGGAAGTATAGCGTAGGATACACAATTTTAAACTATAGTCAAAAGTAGAGAGGTAAATTAGAATTTTTTTTACCTAAAAATTTTTGACACGTGAAATTTGCTCAATCCACAGTACTGGAGCTTCGTTAAAGTTAACGAAATTTATAAGAGGATTTGCTAACGCTAAGAATACAAATGACCCCCAAGTATACAGTAGACGCATAAATTTGGAATTTTTTCTTTTTCTTGATAACACTTCCATAGTAAATTGATGGAATTTAATTGATATTTGGTTGATTGTTTTATATCTCTTGTTTTGATGCAGGAAAAGGAGGAGAGAATAATCAAAAGCTTAATTAGAAGGAGAAAGAATATGGTAAGAATGTGGAGTATAATGTAGCTGTAAAATAAATGAACTCAATGTTCTTGGTTTAATGGAGTCAATGTGATGCATGTTTGTATCTATGGATTCGTAAGTTAAATTAAATAAACATCTTTAATTATATGATATCTTTATTAGTTAACTTGCTTATTATGAACTGGAATGAAGATGAGTTAAGTAATTGTCGATCTGTAAGACCATAACAAAAATATAGTTTTTGTTTTTCTTCCGGGCTCAAATTATTTTCTATATATATTAAAAGACTACTTATATTTAATTTTCTTTTCCTTTTCCAGTTTGTAAGTTTTGAAATAAGACAAAGTTCGTTACATTTTGTCAAGTAGGTAAACTATGCATATAATTGCTCACAATAATACAAACTAAAAAAGAAGAAGAAAAGGCAAACAATTACAGTTTTCTCAGTGAATTTTAGGGAAATTATGACCAGCCCACAGAAGTGAAAAGTGCCAAGAAGCATTCAATCTTATAAATGATTCTAAAATATGCAGTTAAATTGAAAGATTAAAATAAACTTAGGAAATTAATCAGTAAAAAAATGCTGAAAAACTAAACCCGAGATTTGACAATATATGTACATGCACTTATTAAATATCCAGAGGCGGAGCTAGGATTTGAAATTTATAGGTTCAGGATTATAATTCTTTTAAGTTACTGGGTTCTAAATTAATAATTTGTACATATTCATTGAATTTCTTAATATAAATACAGGATTTGAACAAAAGCTAATGGGTTCGGCCGAACCCGCAACTAACACCGTGGCTCCACCATTGCCTAGAAAATAAGACAAAGTAACTTGTTAGAGAAAATATAAAATTCTTTACATTGTTAACATATAGTATATGTTATATCCAAATTTAAAAACTTTGAGCTTTGGACCAAGAGGGTGTTTGCTAAGCTTATAAGCTGGTCAAATTAGCTTATAAGCATTTTCGGCTTATTTACGCGTTTGGTAAAGTTAAAAGTGCTTATAAGCCAAGTACTTATAAGTCAAAAATAAGCTAAAAGCCAAAAGCTGGTCACCCCCAGCTTATGAATTTTTAGCTTATAAACACTTTAAGTTTGATCAAGATTTTTACTATTTTATCCTTAAAATATTCTTTTAATTTAGAATAAAACTCTTACATCGATACTCACTGCCTCAAGTATTGTTTTAACCTCCCCCCCCCTCCCCCACCCCTTCAAGTGTGCAATTCTCATTGACTATTTAAGATAAGCAAATTCTCTATTCCTTTGCATATTTGTATCTATGTGATTGTGTATTAATTTTTGAACTGTATGTAATAAATGAGGACATATCAAATTTTTGGTGCATTGCTTTCTAAGTGTTGTGGTGATGAATATAGTGTTTGTTTCTCTTCAAAAATTTATTTAGGTTTATTTTTCACTTAGAAACTTTTGTCAATTTATTAATTATTATAGCTTATGATTATATGTTTTTCATAAAATAAATTTTATTTATCATAAAAGTTTTCTTATTTAAGCACAGTTGTATTTAAAATAAAATGACAAATAGAATATTTTGTATTTGAATCTATCTGGAATCTAAAATTTTGAAGAAATTATGCCCTTATAAGTGTAAACAGTTCTTAGGTTATTTAAGTCATTTTAACAGAAGAAGAGTTTATCAGCACTTTTTTCTCAAATACTGCAACAACTTATTATCAATTTCAGCACTTGTATCCAAGCACGTAACTGTTTATTTATTAAATCAATTTCAACACTTAAAAATACTTTTTAACACCTAATGCTTATCAGCTACTTCAAATCAGCTAATCCAAACGGGCTCTAAACCTTTTGTTTCTTACTTTTCTGTCCATATCTACCTTTGTAAAATTATGTTAGGTAGGTTGGACTCAAAACCATCCATTTTTATTTACTGTCGTCATCTAATTAGTGCATATATTTCTAATAAGAAAAAGTAGAAATTGCATAAAAACAGAAGCAACTACGTATATTATAGACTGCTAGAAAAGAATTCCAATGTTACAAGGAAAATAAATTTTAATGGATAATATTATACTTTTCGCTACGCTACACCTAAGGGTATCAATGGTTCGGTTCGGCCGGTTTTATAAAATTTGTACCATATCAATTTTTTAGTTATTCTATTATGTATAATCAAAATTAAACTTTTCGAAACCGTCCCAATCATGTCGGTTTCTCTTCGGTATCAGTATGGTTCGGTTAATTTTCGGTATTTTTTTAAATGTCATGTAAAAGTCACTAATAAAAGTAAAATGCAATAATATACATACATTTGTAGTGTCACGACCCGGAATTCTTACCCTCGGGACCGTGATGGCGCCTGATATTTCACTTGCTAGGCAAGCCAACGTTAGAGAACCGTTAAGCCAATTTTTATTCAATTTCAATAAATAAAGTCAATTAAGTCAAAATGAAATAAAATTGAGTGCGAAATAACATAAATGCCCATAACATGTACTACAATCCGGATCTAGAGTCACAACTCACGAGCTTCTAGAATTTTCTACAAACAGAATCTGAAAGAAATACAACTGTACGAAAAGAAACAATAAAATAGGGGAAATGAAAGAGGATTTCAAGGTCTGCGGATGCCAGCAGATTTACCTCGAGTCTCCAATGAGCAAGTCCGAGCCGCTACACCTCACGAACAACTGGGCCCAATACCAAAGTCTGCACAAGAAGTGCAGAGTGTAGTATGAGTACAATCGACCCCATGTACTCCGTAAGTGTCGAGCCTAACCTCGAAGAAGTAATGACGAGGCTATGACAAGACACCCACGTAATAAACCTGTGCAGATAACAATATAGGTACAAGATAACAATAAATAAAAGCTAAACATCTACTATTGGGAGGGGGACATGCTAAAAAGGATACATTATACAAGAAATACAACAGAAATAAAAACCAGAACAGTCAATATGCCTTGAACAAGTAAAAAAACAATGAAGCACAATGAAGACACTTTCAGTATAAATCAATAGATACGACACGTCATCATCCTTCATGCATTAACACTCACAATATGGCACGACATCACCCTTCATGCATTAACACTCACAATATGGTACGACATCGCCCTTCGTGCTTTAACACTGTTCCTTAACATAAAATAATGAACAAGTAATAACAGGGAGATATGATCAACAAGAACAAGCCTTACTCCAACAACGGTTCCACAATACCAATCTCAACTTTAGAATCAATACTCAATTATTACAAAAGCCCATAAACACGGTAAGAACGATCAATTTAATAAGTAACTAGTTTAAGCATGGATAACATGATCAAAGTAAGCAATGATTACAAGGAACAAGTCCCACCCGCATGCTTTAACTTGACAACAACGCATAAGTACTCGTCACCTCACATATACATCGTACCCAACATCTAGACATGTAGCAAATAGACAAACAAGTCCTAATTCCTCAAGTCAAAGTTAACCACGATACTTACCTCGCTCCAAGGATTGATTCAAAGCTCAACCATAACTTTGCCTTTCAAACAAGTCTCCGAACTAATAGAATCTAACAAATTACCAGTCAAATGATTCAAATTAAGCCTTAGGAACTACCCACGATTGCAAAGGATTCAATTTAGATCATTATTGAAAAAGTCAACTCCCAGGCCTGCTTGGTCTAAGCCCGAAATTCGGATCAAAACCCGATTACCCATTCACCCCCGAGCTCTGTTATATAATTTTTTTTTGAAATCCGACCTAAATTTGAGGTCTAAATCCCAATTTTTACAAAAATTCCTAATTCTAACCAAACCCCCAATTTCCACCATGAAAACGCTAGATTTTAGGTTAAAATTTTATGAAATGTAATGAAAGATTGAAAGAAAATGGGTTAGAATCACTTACCAATGATTTGGGGAAGAAGGGTGCTTGGGAAAATCACCTGTAGGGTTTTCTTGTTTTGAAAATTTAAATAATGAACAAAAATTCCGTTTTTCAGCTATTTGTTCAGTTGTAGATGTCGCATTTGCGACCTGGGTTTCGCAAATGTGAACCACTCAAATGCCAAGAAACAGTTGCAATTGCGAAGATCACCCATTTCTGTTGTCATCGCATTTGCGATGATTTGTTCGCAAATGCGAACATTGATCTTCCGCAAATGCAACCGTTTGATCGCAATTGCGATCACTGTACCCCTTGTCCCATTTCGCAAATGCGAACTTGAGGTGCCCCAGCTACTCTTCGCAAATGCAAGGAGTTGATTGCAAATGTGAACCTATCAGAGGTCGTAAATGCAAAGCCTGACCTCACAATTGCGAGGTCTGAGGCCTGCACCATAACTGGAACACACCAGCACATTCCTAAGTCCAAATTTCATTCTGTAGCCTATCTGAAACTCACCCGAGTCTTCGGGGCTCTAAACCAAATATGTACACAAGTCTAAAAACATCATACGAACTTGCTCGTATGATCAAATCGCTAAAATAACACCTAGAACTATAAATTGACCATCAAATCAAAGAAAATTTTCAAAAAAACTCATGAACTTCTAATTTCACAACCGGACGTCCGAATCACGTCACCAACTTTGTTTCTCACCAAATTTGATAGATAAGTTATAAATATAGTAATAGACCTATACCGAGATCCGAAACTAAAATACGGACCCGATATCAATAAAGTCAAACATTGGTCACACTTTCAAAGTTATTAAGCCTTTTAAACTTTCAAATTTCAACAAAGTGCGATAACTCGTGCTAGGGACTTCCGAATTCGATTTAGGGCATATGCCCAAATGGATTTTAAGGCACAAATTTCTTATTTTTCTTAGTTTATAACATAAAAGTTTTTCGAAAAAATACTCGGACTGCGCACGCAAATCGAGGAGGGCTAAGATGAGGTATTTAAGGCTTCAAAGTACATAATCAGGTTCTAAAACTTAAGATGACCTATCGGGTTATCACATATAGGACTTAGCAAAACTCTCTAGACAGTTTTACTGTTTAAATAGTGATGAATTAAAAAACACAAAAGATGGCCAGAGTATAGATCTATCAACCACTCTACAACTGCGTAAAAGAAACTACGTAAAGATGAAGAAAAGATAAATCATACAAGTAGAAAGATATTAACCAAGGTGGGGATCAAGAATAAAGTATATAGAACATTAAATATAAAGATAAATCTAAATTATCATATTTAACACATTGTAGTTTTCTCCTTATAA